GTACAATGCCGCAGCAGCACCTAATCGGTTATAGATTATTCCTATACCAATGTTGTTCTTAGGGTCAGTGTAAGTTCAATATTTAATGACAACAAAGTACTTAAGTATATTCTGAATTGTAAGTTATTCTTCGTTTTGCACAAAAAAAAAAAAAAAAAACCTTGTCTATCTGGCAAATTACGCAACAGACATTTTGACATTTGTGATTAGTATTTGACCAAATTTTGCTTTTTTTTTTAAGTTTAAAAAATAATAATGGAAGACAAAAGAATAGAATTGTATATAAAGTTTCTACTTCAACAACATTAATTTTTTCTTTGCAAAAAGTTTTATTTTTTTGTTTTCTTGATGTAAGACCTATCAACAGTGTTTAACTGAGTAAAGGCCATATGAGAGGAACAACTTTTATACCTCTGTCAGAAAGCACTGCTACAAATTAGGCAGTTAAATTACTGTTAAGCATCAAAAATGATCATCATTTAAATTAGTGCTGTTACATTTTTTTATAGATTTTTACTCATTTTTTAAGCTCAAAGTGTTGATGATTATAAATTTTATTTTTTGTTCTCTTTTTTAATAAATTTCTCAAACTTATTTTATAGTAACGAAATTGATAGTTTATATAATTTATTCATATTAAATTATTGAAATTAAGAGAAAAAGCAGTGACAGTTATTTGACAAAAAAACTGTACAGCGAATGAATGAGAATGATAAAACTGCTAAAAAGTGTACCATTTTTTATGATCTGTTTTTTTTTCTTTCTTTTGAATAAAGTTTAAATTAGCTTTACATTAAAAAAAATTGCTTCTAAAAATGTGTATCAAAAATATAATATAATAAAAATCAAATTTGAAAATTGTTAAAAATTTTAGACATTTCATCAATTTTGGTATTCGTTTATCTTCTTTTGAAAGAATATTAAACTGTTAACAGTTATGGCAGACAACCTTTGCTTAATTTTCAATAATTTTCAACTTTTTATTCATCAAAAGTGTCAGTTTTTTTTTTTTTTTACCATACAGGTTTAAAATATCAATTGCTGAATGTACTTTAAAGATTCATTCATATTCATCTTTTGTTATTCATCTGTTACTTAGGTCAAAATAAATGCTGTTATCTCGATTCTTTGTTGCAAATGTAAAAAAAAAAAAAAAGAAGAGAATAATTTAAATAAACAGTTTAAATATAAAATGTTTGATATTAAGCAGTAAAAATTTTTGAATACAACACTAACAACTGAAAAACCACTGTAATGTAATTTGCTTACAAACATTTAGGCATATCTATTTGATCGCAGAATTTAAACTTCGTTCTCAGTCAGAATTGGCAATATTTTTGCGGTCAAAGTGTATAAACAGAACTGTATTTGTGGCGTAACCTTTGCACTGATATGTTACCAACCAACAATTAATTCAAAAAAAAAAAAACTGTTATAACACTTCTCTCTATGTTACTATTTATAATTTCTTTTAACTGTTTTTAACTTTTGTTTTTTTTTTTTTTCAACATTAAAATCAGTTTTTAAAATATACAACAACAACAACAACAATAAAATTATTGCTTTTCACCTATTGTAATAGAGGAATTATTTGATAAGAGCCAAAAATTGATACCATATGACACTAAATGCTTAATTCAAACCATTATTAGTGAAAAAAAAAGAAATTTTTTTTCTTGGTTAAGAGATATAAAATTATAATGATAAAAACGTTTTTTTTCTTTGTATTTTCTTGTAATAATATCAAAGTTCACAAAAGCGGTTATATATTTGACAATTTATTTTATTATAATAGCTCCAATTCAGCAAGGCATCAAAGATGAAAAAAGTTGAACTTAAAAAATTCTTAAGGTTGACAATTGGCGATCAAACCCAATTAGATGTCTCATCGAATAGCACTTAAAAACTTCTGTTGATTGTTATTTATAGATGTACCATTAAAAAACCACGTGTTTTCCTCTTTGTTCACAGCAAAATTTGTTCACTGAAAAAGTTAGTGGAAAGAAACGACTAGAAAAATGCACAATGATCTGTTAAGAAAGGGCACAATTTTGCAGAAAGCAGAATTTGTGTATTGCTTAATTGAAACTACAGATATGTTGCAATTATGATACCAAAACAATGGCAAAAATGAAAGCCAACTATAAAACTTAACTTATACACTTAATCAAAAAAAAAAAAAACAAGAAAAAAACAGCACAATAATTGCTAATTTATCAAGCAAAAAAATAAAGTAATCTTTATTCAGTTAATTAATTAGTTGCTCATTAAGCATAAATGTTTGATAAACTTTAAAACAAAAAAAAAATTATAACACTAAAAATTCATTAGTGGTAATTGATCAGATTTGGTAGACAGAATTACCGCAAAAGATTTTTTAAAAAATTTGAGAACAAAATTTTGAATTAATTAGACTGGTAGATTAAACTAGCATAAACATTGTCAAAGATGCTGTACATTGTTATGCAGTAAAATTCATTTACATTAGGCAATTCTTTCTTCAAAACCTTCTTTCTTATTTTTTACTAAATCTCCAGAAGCCTAAACCGTTATCCAGGTTATATCGGACTGTTTAACTGCTGTTATCAGACTAATTTTTCAAATTTTGTTTTGTATAAGCATATTTATAATATAGATTTAATAAAACTTTTTCCTCTGTTCAACCAATGAAACTTGATTGATTGCAAATATAATGTGTGATATTAACCGATAAATTTTGACGACAAAAATTAATCAGAGAAGCATTTATTAAATGTTTTCTTTTTAAAATATAAATCTAATACAAATACTGATGAAGAAAACAAATAAACAGATAACAAAAAAAAAAATACAAATAACTATATTTATCTGTTATCAGTACAGTGCAATGTTTCTCAAAACTTCTGTTCAGTTCATTTATAGTCATAATTTTTTTTTTTTTTTT